AAAAATAGCAGTAAAAAAAGCTATTATTATAACAGGAGAAAGAAGAAGAAGAAAATAATCGAATATAGTGTTCTATATTTAATATCACATATGCACACGTATAATAATAATTGAATTATATATATTATAATTTATTAATCGAAGTAGAATGAAATGATCCTTCTAACGTTTGGTACAGGAAGACGTTTCTAACGAAACAGCATGTGCGTGTTGTGTCTTTTGCTCGCTTATACTTTTCATTCAAAGTGCAAATGATGATGCACGACGGTTGGATTGAAATCGCAAGTTTCCTGAAATGCATTGACAATGTTAAATCGTGGTAAATGCATCTGACAGAGAGCAACCGCTTAATAGTCAACACTTCCCTTTGTCCCCGTGACTTCCTTTTGTTCTTGATCGGTACTTAGCCAAACAATAGGACGCGACCCCAAATGGCACTTTAATTGTGCGTAGATACGAGTAATGCAGAGATTCTTGAGTGACACTCGTGCCACCTCCTTGCTATTACTTTTATCTTTTTTTTGCTCATAAAAAGGCTTCTGGGCTTCCCCGTTCTGTTCTGTTCTTTCTACCCTAACCCTTTCCCTCGATCTACCAACCTCCTACACTTTGTTTTTGTGTCCTTTTTTTCTCTCCCTCCCTCCGTTTACTCTTCTTTTTATTTTTATTCTTCGCGTGTATATATACACATACACATACACACATTGTCATGATTTTAACTCGACCGTCGCCTCGACGAGTTTTGCGAGAATAATGAAAAACAAATGTATTATTTACACTAGTTCGTAACGTTTTCCAACCTGTCCAAGGTATTTTCTCGTCAACCCGCATTTCATTTCTGTTATGTCCTGCTATTTTATTTATTTTTTTTTTTTTGTTATTTACCACTCGTAGAATAGATACACACGGAGAGTATATTTTCGTTCAACGATAAGATATTTTTTCTATTTTTCTATCATATTTCTATTGTACTTTTTCTATCTTTTTCTATCTTTCTTTTTTTTTTCTTTTCTTCTTTTAAATTTATTTGCGAAATATTTCGTTCGACGGCGCGAGGGGGTCAGTTATTTAATTCAATTTCAAGTTCTCTTGTACTTTGGCGTGGAGTAAATTAAAAAAATTTTGTTCATCGTGCAGAGGAACACGGAAATTCTCTCCCCATCGTCATTTCAACTCTAACGAGTCTATTTACTTTGACGTACTCCTTTCGTTTTACGTATTTACATAGTATACAAGTATATAAGTACATAGATATATATATATATATACATATGTACATGAAAGTATCTCTATAAATATAATTAGAAGTTTTGAGAAGTACGAGAAATGATATATTTTAGTCAGCTCGTGACAACCAGTGAAAGTTTTCACCAGCATTAAACAACCTACGTGATCTTGAAATTCGCATTTGTTAATAGATCATATTTCTATTTCATTATTCTCATTAAAATTATACTAAGAATTTTTTTTTTTTTTTTATGAAATCTTCGAAAGTCAAGTCGATTGCATTATTACGAAAAATTTTGTACAAAAGAATGGGGAAAAAAAAAACGATACCGAACTGACCGAGGGGTACGTTTTTATAAAAAAAAGCGTATACCTCAATTATATCCCTCTCATTAAATATTTTTTCTCATTTTAAACGCGCGTTTGCAGAAAAAAAAAGGAATGAAATAGTAATAAAAAGGGAAAAAGAAAGTAAACGTTCCCTTCGATGAACGACATAACACACCACCACCATATACCCGTTTAATTCTTCTTTGTAATTTAATTACTTTGCGAAATAACGAGATAGTCCTTACTATATCCTATATATTATACGATAGTCCAATTTTATTTTCATGATATATTTCTTTTTTATTATTATTATTATTATTATTATTTTTCCAATTCTTCTTTTTTTTTTTTTGTTTTCCTTATAATCGTACTAATTTCGTTAATTTGATTCAACGGCGTGGAATATACTTATCAAACAATCTTGCATTCGTTTGAATTAATTAAGCTTTGTATTCTCATTTATTTTTCTTTTTATTTTTTTTATTTTCTATTAAAAGGAATAGAAACTGACAAAATTATTTCGACAATGAGTATATTCCAATAAGATATATATATTTCTATTCTTAGTTTAACGAACAGTGAATATTATGACGCATTCTCACGCGATTTCCGATCACGAGTTTATCTATTAAACGCGTGTGTATATACAATACTAACACATGAATTATTTTTCTTTTATTTAAGTAGCACGTAATAAATGTATGCATGTAAGTGCATGTAAATATATTTTATATATGTACATATATATATATTTATTTTTTTCCGTATTAATCGAACGGTACTTAACATATGTTTCAGGGATAACACGTAGATCATACATCAGATACTACGAGCCAGCTTCTTATGACACGATATCCTTGAAACGTCATCGCGACAGGACGCGTCGTGACATCTCCGATTCTACCGAAAATCAACCACTCATTTTACGCTTGAAAGCATTGGATAGGTACGTTTAAACTTTGATCTAAACGTAAAATAATATTTTTTTACTCTTTTACAAACAAAAAAGAACAAACAACTCGTTGCAATATGTTTCGTATTATATTATTTTTTGTCAAAACGTAAAAAAAAAAAAGATAAAAAGAAGGAAAAAATAGCGTTCGAAAACGAAGGTTAAGTTAATTGACGTAAAATTTAATAAAAGTAACGCGATTTAGTGTTTACAAGAGAAAGAGTAAGAGGGAGGGTGGTGGAGGAGAGGAAGGGAAAGTGAGAAAGAACTATACAAGGTCATCGACGTGCAAGGTATTATACCTATCTATCTATCTATCTATCTATCTATCTATCTATCTACTTACCTACCTACCCGTCAGGTGTATCCTTGACAGGTCAGTAAGCAGGGATCCAATTAAGGCCACGTTCGTGTAAAACGCGTTACGTTTCCACGTTGCGGTGGATCTTATATAGATCCGTGTACGGATTACCAATAATGTGTCACTGTTCTTCGTATTTCGAGGGTGAAAGTCGAAAAAGGGGTGACATATCTTTTTTATTTTTTTTTTTCCGAGAATAAACCCGAGAACAAGATAATCCGAGAATTATTCGTGAAAATACTAACAAGTTATTGGTGAACACTTTTATTTTTATTTATATTATTACATATTTTCATTCTCTCTTTCTCTTCTTATTTTTTTTTTTTTTTTTCGATTTATTTACCGATCTAAAGTTACACGAAAAGTTTCAAGAGTATAAGAGAGAGAGAGAGAGAGAGAGAGAGAGAGAGATAGAGAAAAGAAAATGAGATTATTTTGTTGTTTTTCAAGATTATTAAAGTTCGTGGATTATTTTAAAAAAAGAACAAATTGGGGAAATATTTAATCTTCGTAGAAAATATAATATGTAATATATAATGTATGTATTTTAAATGTTTTTTTTTTGTTTTGTATGTTATTCGATAATTTATATAAAATAATAATTATGTCGATCACACCATAGTGTATATTATATTATAATATTATACCTCAAATTAATTCGAATATTATTATTTTATTTTGTTTTTTATACATTTTGTATAAAATTGTATTAAATGAAGTCGGGTTAATTTTTGGATAAATAACTTTTTCTTCAAGTAAAATGGTGTATAATATATATATACATTGTTTAATATTTATAGAGGGATTATATATTTGTAGTGTACGCGTTAGTTATAATGCCGGCCAGGGGGTTGTTAAGTTACACCGAATGGTGGTAGTTGTATTTCTCTGATTCGATAGACGAGGAAACCTGGTGCTTGATTTGTGGCTGATTCTAGGAGGATGAAGTTCCGAACAAACTTCGACGTTAAGTCGATCCTACTACTCTCCCTGCCCTTTCCTCTCCAATCCCAACCCCCTCCTATGATTTCTGATTTCAAAGGAAGCAATTAGAACATCACGGAAAGGTATTTCTACGATCGTAGGAATAATCTATCGATGGATATCTCGGTCTACCAAATGTAAAAGGTTGAATTGTACGAAACGGAAGATGTGAAGAAAATCGAACAAATTCTCGATTCGATTAAATCTCGTGTATATTTCTAATTCGATATAAGGAAACTATTTGTCTGTCTTTATTTTTCTTATTGCAATCTCGACTATAACAAATATTTATATAATATTTATAATAATATATATATATAATATAAATATAAATTTGCGCCTTAATAATGGCAATAAAATACGATTAAATGAAAAAAGTATTTTGATATGACACCGTTCAATAATATATTTAAATGATGTTACGTTAATT